ATTATTGCAATCTTCAAACTGAAACTTATTAAATAAATAAATAAAAATGGTTTTCAAAAAACATTATTTTTTTACAATAAATAAAATACTCTATTCATTCTTAAACTGAAGTACTAATTAATTCTATCATGAGTGCATGCAGACTAAAACCATCAAACTTAATTTTAAAATTGTTTTACAACTTCCAAATTTATTAGTTTGTGTTCAGATAATGAATTACATTTTTAAATATATAAATTAAACAAAATTGGATCCAATGACAAAACATAATAAAAATTATGAAAACTTCTTCAGTATCATTTTTAAAACGGAATACAAAAACAAACATATTTATGTAAAATTATATTTGAATATTGATGAAAATTTGCATTACTATTAAGAGGTGTAACTTACATGGATAATGCAATTAGTATAGGATTTATAATATAATATTCTCAATTGCACATGCCAAAACAAGAAATCAAGTAGATCATACATTTATGATCCATTTTTCAATTCAATATATCATTTTACAAAAGTGGAAGAAAAGAAACATTTATGAATTTATCAAATTTCTTAAACTACATATACATACTATGAACTAATACTACAATTTCTCCTTTCTTCTATGAATTTTTTAACAGTTAATGGCTGTTATCACTATTTTTAATTTTTAGTTCCGAGTCCAAAAATTTTAATTAAAGTAAGTTTTACAAGTGAAAAGTCAAATAGTTCAAGGCAATTTTTTTCAAGGAATTTAAAATATACTACAATGTACAAAGTTTACAATGTAAAGAGAGTTTAATGACCTACAAATCGCATTTAACATCAAGTTGATAAAATGGTCACCAATATTTGTATGGCATATGCATTTTATAAGATTAATTTAGTACATAAATAGAAAAAAAACTGCAATTAGTAAATTTCAAATCCATATTACATACATATTATTCTTAAATTATGTTTCATGTACACTTTTCTATAGACATTATATCAACTGAACTAAAATCTTTACATGAGTGAACAACTTTTAATAATGATTAAAGTATTAAACAACAGTTATCCTTTCTAATTAAATTAAGCATCTTACAAAAATTACAAATTGACAGTCATTTAAAACTGCTTAAGAATTGTTAAAATCTATCAGTTCATTTTATATAGATGTAAAAATTTAATAACTTCAGGTTCACTCTTAAATGAATTATAATATATGATCTAAGTTAAGTTAAGCAATAAAGAGCGTGACAAAAATCAGGAAAATAAATCTTCAGTATCTTTTGTTTAACACAGTATTAGAAAAACAAGATTTAATGATATAAAATTTAAATGAAAATTTCAAATAATAAAAATGCACTTCTTTAACAAGAAAATGTAAACATTTCTAAATTACAAACAAACAGTTAGACAGAAGAAATTTAATTAAGAAATTTTAGAAAATATATCAAGTCTGCTCAAATAAATTTTTAGACAAAAAAAAATTTACATAAAATGTAATTTTAGAGAATATTTTCAATTTGATAAATTAAAAAATTAATGACAATCAAATAAACTCATGTTTTTGTTAAATTATAAACATTTATCATTAATGACGGAATTTTCATTTACTCTAGCATGAATACGTAAATGAAGATATTTTATGCCAGTTAAATACTTTAAATAAAAATAACACGACTTTAAAATTTACCTGTTGTTATTACATAATCATCAATATATATTATAAAGGTAAATGTACAATGTGCATGCTGCTAAAACTCAAAAACAAGTCCTGGTACGATCAAGGGAGTTATATCGTGTGGCAGCCCTATATCCCCCATCCATGAAGAAGGTTCCCTTTTTACCTGATGGGCGTGCTGTTGAAGATGTAAGGGCAGGAAGTTTCGCCCTCTAAAAATTTCTAGAACAATCCGGAACATTCGAGAGCATTCCACAATATTCCAAGATGTTCTGGAATGTTTGGGAACATCCTGGGTCATTGTGAAACATTCCAGAACACCCTCGAATGTTCTGGAACATTGTGGACCATTCGAAGCCTTTTTTGTATGGGTGGGACTACCCATTGGTGGGGGTATATAAAGCAAGATCCATCGTGGGTTCGAACATCAGTTTATCATCATTGATGACGGGATGAACCAAAAAAGAAGTGAAAATTCCAAAAGTAGTGCAGTGAGTGAATAAAAACAAGCAGTGAAGTGTGAGTAGTCAAAGTGATACAGTGACTGAATATAAATCGAAAATTAAGTGTGAAAACTGTGTAAAGTGTACTTAATGTATTTGTTAATAAAAAGTTGATTTATATTTTATACAATGCCCAAACTTAAGAGGTCAAGCTCTTGTCAGTTCTGAATTTTCTTTTGAATATTAAAGTTGATATTGTCAACAACATTATTTTCAGTTGCCAAAATTGCCCTTTGAAATAACCACTCCGAATAATAAGAAGTGCAGAGCTCAAACAGTTAGGAGTTGAAGTTGAAATTTGGTACACAGTTAGGGTGCATCATGAGAACATACACTAAGAAGGGCTTTTTCGAAATCCCCCCCGCGGGGGAAGTGTTAACAATGGAAATGGTTAAGTAACAATTGAAGTGTTAAAAGAAAGCAACATGCAAGATTTACAGGCACAGATGCAGTTTTTGTGAGAAATCAAACATATTTTTAGACCCATCTAAAAATTTTCTAATTAGTCTAGAACCAGGGCAACCTAATTCTTGCATTATGAGAAAACAGGTAAGATTGGCTATAATGTAAATAATCTTAATCTTTGCTATCGTCACTTTTTGCCCGAGCAATGCCGGACTTAGCTGCTAGTTTATTATAAATGAAAGATTAAGTGTTTCAAAACTAAAATTATGACTACAAATTCATTTTATCTTAACCTCTTTGATGTTGAAATTTTTTTCTGTTGCCTGTGCTGCCATGTTGAATTTTTGTTGATGTTAAGCCTAACAAAAAATTTAAAAAAATAATAACAATCGTGTTTACTGTGTCATTAAAAATTATTTTTTTTATGTTGCACAAAGAAAATAAATATATTGAAAAATATAACAACAACAAAAAAACTATATTTCAAAAGTTCGTTTTAATATAAAAATTGTGACACAGCGACATCTAGTATCAAAAACGTTCCGATGCAGACACGAAAATATTCAGGATCTCACACGCAGGACAGGTTAAAGTACACATTGAGTTGAAAAAGAAATCTCCATCTTTAATTGTCAATTTGTCATAAAATTGTTGTATACAATGCAAGTAAAATGTCTGGTTAATATGAAAAGCAATGTATAATAGAATATTGATTCATCCAAGTAATATAATGTTATCATAAAAATTGAATTAACAATATGCTAAATTACTACTTAAACAATTTAAGCAAAAAAAAAAAAAACTGTTATAAAAATAGTTTTAAAAAATGAAAATTGATTTTCACAGTAATATTCAAAATGTTTTCCACATTTGAAAAACAAACTTCAAATAAAAGTTGTATTTTAAGTAAATTTTTCAAATGAACAGCAAATCATTACTACAGATCATCAACTAAACATTATTAATTAGTTTTTACTACTTTACAATATCTACTATTTTTACTTTAAAATATCTTCATTACATTCATGCTTAATTTCAGTTTCAATTTTAAACAGTAATTATTAAAATTATCTTTCAAACGAATTTTTCTTTTGAACAGTGCATTTTATGTGAAAAATTTAAAATATTTTTATCTTATTTTTAGAAGTGCAATTTTAGATCTTTTCTATCAAAATTGCTGACACTGAATCAATTCAGTCTCAACAAACCACTCTCTCATGCTTATTCAATTAAAACTAATAATTATAAAAAAATAATTATTTCCAACTTCTAATTTTATTCTAGAGGCTTAACTAAAGAATTCTTATAATAAATTTTAAGGGATCAAATTTTTAAATAATGTTAAAGTTATTCTATTTATTACTAATTAATACTTAATAACTATATTAAAAACCAAAATTGTTTCTTTTCCTAACTAGGGAAATAACTATCTTATACAGAGAAATCTACAGACATCAACTTAGGTCTAATTAAATTATCTGACCATATAAGTTTGCTTACTGTAGATTCATTGTTACGACGACTAGATGTATGTCGGCCAAAGCATGAGAGATGGATTGGGCAAAAAATTTATCCACAGAAAAGGTAAATGATAAATAAGTAACACTACACCTGCTTCCCGTTGAAGGTGACATAATGTTCGGCACAAACTCGTTCAATGCTGTCTTCGGTCTCGAATGATAAAAATCCAAACCCTAATGCCATATGGAGAGGAAGGAAGCAAACTTATCTACTTAATATTCCTATGACTGACACAAACTACTGTGATTGGTATAATATGTAAATGTTTTATAACAAATCTTAAACAGTGACTCAAATATCTTTATAAACTGTGCAGAAATTCTGTAGCAATATGATGTTAAATTCATAAGCCTTCAAAGGGAAGTACAAGGTCAGTGTTATTACCAACAATAAAAACTTATATTTAAGCTTATACTAGGCAAGAGCACTCAGACCTTGTAATTTTTGATTTCATAATTTATCAAATTACTATAACTAGAACTATACAAGTTTTCACTTACATAAATTTAATTATGCTAAAGTTGTAATTTAAAATTTATAACCCATAACTAAAATTAATTTAAATTTTATTAAATTAAAAGCAATCTATATTTCAAATTATAACTATTTTTGCCAACTATTAATTTAAAAATATTTTATATTAAAATTTATCATTATTAGATTACTATTAAAAAATCTTGTATGTTCCTCTCCCATATACCACTGATTTTATAAATCAAATATTCATTTTCCACAAAACAGCCAAATATGACAGTGCAACAGGGAACAAACATCCAAAATTTTTATAAGCTATTTTTAAACTTAAGTGATTCTAATTAAAGGCATGCTCTAATATTATACCACTTAAATTATTAAATTTATATTTAAAACAGTTNTAGTTGTTTAAATCATAATCAAAAAACAAATTAAGAAACTGATCTCTCAAAAATGTAATATCTTCATACCTTCTGCATCCCTCTAGGATTACAAGCCTTTGGATCAATCTAAAATAATTAAAAAATAAATTATATTAGCAATTAAAAATATCCAAAGTACAGGTAGCCCTCGGTTTACACCGCAGTTTCGTTCCCACAAAAGCCGGCGCAAATCGAATTAGTGGAAAACAAACCCATATTTACACTGAGGTATAGGGTTAGGTTCTACACAAATGAAAAATACGAAAATAATTTTGTTTATTAATACAATATAATACAAAGTACAAATAAATTTAATTTTTAAAATGTATTTTATCATAATGTTAAATGTTTTTATTAAAAATTTTAGTTTTGGATCTCTTACATTTTTCGGAAAAAGTATCCATCTTTAATTGTTTATATTTTTCTTTTCTTTCATTGAGAATTTCGGAATATGGTTGAATGGATGGGACAGTGCTCCTTTTTACATTCACACTTCGCTCCCAATCATTGTCTAACTTACAAAGTTCAACCGTTAAACTTTCCATAGTTGAAAGGATACATTAACCAGACGTAGAGCTATGGATGAGCGGAGACACTGATTGGTCGACCACTGGTCGCCGTAGCACATATGTAAGGTCAGTTTGAGCGGAAAAATTAAGGAGCGATAGATATCGTTTGGCCAACGAGAAGTAATTTGTCTCACTAACGATAGTTTGTGATCGCCAGAAGTGCTATTGCGTCGTAAGGTATTTTCCTGAACGAACTGATACGGGATAAATTCAATCGTGCTATGGATTCGGACACCATTTATTGAACTATTAAATTTGATAACTTGACTCGCGGGTACCTAAATGTTTAGTATTATAATATTAATTTAATGCAAATGTATACATACTCAATAATATTAAACAGAAAAAATAAATATATTCAATAAAAATCTTTGTTTTAACAAATGTACAATGTCGCGGCTCAGTAAATACGGCAACACTGAAACGAAAATCAGGGAATTACAGAGCAAAATCACGAATTGTGCAGCGGCGTAAACCAAGGGCTACCTGTATTATATCTATGAAATATCTTTCAAATAGTCTCAATATTTTTGAATAATAAGAATAGTGTGAAATATAACAGAATTTGATCCAAATTTCCAAAAATCCAAAAAAAAATCCAGAATTTGTAATGTAACAACATTTTAATGATATTCTAACATTAAACATATAATAGAGAATAACTTTAATATAAAAAAATAATTTAACACGAAAATTGGCACATTATAAAAATTGTTATAATCAATCCTTTTCATCATATTCTATTCTAAATTTCAATATACAGCGGGTGATCGGTTAATGAACAGTTCGGACTACAAACAAATCAGATAATGAACACAAAAAGCGACATAAAATAATGGATACCGATTGGTCTTCCCTTGTCTTCAGGCAACAATTCAAAACTTTTTGAAGCAGGGGAGACGTTGACATCGACCCTCAACCCGGTATTATACTGATCAGATAGTATTCCTCCAAACTTTGAAACTCTCACTTGTAATTCAAGCCTTTTATTTTTCTGACAGAAACAATTCTTTTATAGTATTCGCGAGACTGTCAGATAGGCACTTGTTAAGTTTTACGTCAGTTTTTATTTTCGAAAGATGAGGATATAATAGTAAAGGTAGAGAGTGGGCAGAAGATGTCTGATGTTGCTGGGCAGTATGGTTTGAACAGGTCTACAGTAGGGCACAGTTCAATCTTATGTAAGAAAGATACAGAATAATCAAGAAGACTCAAAGCAGCTAAAGGAGTAACAAAAATCACATCTGAAAATGAAGAACATTGAAGATCTCATAATGGAACCTAACGATAGAAGAACGCCAAGAAACTTGGCGAGATATGTTTTCTTCTGAAATAGAGGACTAATGTTAATATCTGCTATTAAAGATCTTTTGAAAAAGTGGGTGAATGTCAGAACAATGGTCTTAGAATGGCATCCAAACCAGGTTTGAGGTTAATACGCTCATGGATCTCTACAATTACAATGCTATTAATTACTTCTGAAAAATCCCAAAGAAGAGAAAAGCAATGAACATTGGACAGATTCTTTAACCCCCCACAAATGGAAAAAACATTCAAATAACTATCATACATATATACACAGTCTTGAATTTTTATTAATAAATAAAAATGCAACACACACTATATGTATCTTTATTATTACATATAAATAAATGTAGTAAGAAAGTATATATTTTTTTCACTTTTCGGAGTCTCCAGAACAAATTAATCAAATTCCCATAAAAACCTATGGTAAATTAATGAACAATTCAGATAGCAAATAAAGTCTTGGAACGGATTATGTTCATTAACCGATCACCCACTGTAATGAAAAAAATTAAGTTCAACAATTTTTATGGTGCAAATTTTCATAATTTTTTGACATCAAAGTTATTCTGTATTATGTCTTCATTAAAATGTTGTATTATATATTTGCCATTTGAAGTCTTTTCTTAAAAGTATCTCAAACAAAAAAATTATACATGATGATAACCTATTATACATTATGCATATTAATAAATACAAGACAGAAGTAACTGATGTACCTATTACAAATTATTACATTTATTGATTTCAAACTTACTGTTCGCCCATCTAATTCATGAGGATTACTTGATAACACAATGGAGACGCAATTTGGATCTTTGAAAGTAATAAAGCCAAATCCTCGAGACCGACCAGTCTCATTATTTTTCATCACAACACAATCTACAACTTCTCCAAATCTACTGAAGTATCGCTGAAGATTTTCTAAAAAAATAAATAAATAAATTTCACTAAAAAATAAAATCATCATTATCCAACCTGATTAAAAGCTGCTAATTTACAATTTTACAAGTTAATAATAGAGGTTAATTATTTAGAAATTCACACTATTTTAAATTCCATGTTTACCACAAACATCTCTTAGTCAAATAAATATTTAAGTTCTAAAATGCAGTTTTCATCTTTTTTCCAGAATAAGTTCAATTAGCTCATTAAAAAGTATGTCATAGTTATTTGATGGCAAATATCTTGTTTGATTATCTGAACACGTGCAATATGAAAATCAAAGCAAAATGAGTAAGAACTCAAAATTCTTTTATTAAAATAATTTTATTTTATTTCAAAATAAAGTATAATTGAAAATATATGAATTGATGCTGCCTACAATTAAAAGAAAAACATGAAAAAACAAACTTTATTCGAATGCAAATATTACTAAAACAGGACTCCTACTCACCATTACTCCAAATTCTTTTTACAAATAAAACAATTCATTTGACTACAAAATTGTGTGAGCATTCATTAAATTGCAAAGGGACTTCCTATGGTTTTTCATCAGGCTCAAACATTTTATGGTGGCAAATTAAATGTACATCTGTCTGCAGACTGTGTTAATGACCTCACCCTTTTCTGTAAGCCAGTAAGGCACATATGTCATCATCAACAAAAAACATTTTACATAATCAGCACTTTGTTAGTAAATACTATACATGTAGACAACTAGGTCTATCTACAATGTTTCTTGTTAGGCTTCATACTTGTTACTGGCGAGGCAGTTCAATCAGTAACCATTTGTGCAAAAAAGTTTAGCAGTTGCGCCTACCAATATAACTCACAGAGATATGACAATAAACTTCATATTGTATTGTAAAAGCTAATATGTTTGTCAGCTTCTGCTCTGAAGACTAATGCATAAGAACACATCAAAATTATGTCGTTTTGTCCCACATGCCACAGGCACTAAACACCACATACACAAGAACTTAAATTTGCTTAACACATTCAAATAAGCCTATATTACAAGGTGAGTTTGATATTAATTAATTTAATTAAAGGTAGGGGCCAAAATTACACTAACATTTATAATTAAAGAAAATATTTAATACATTCCACAATAACTATGTACTTTTGTTTATTTCTTGACATAATTGCCTTAAATGTTGAGACATTATTCCATCACAGCTCTGTTGCTTGTCAAGTTGTTCGAAGTAGTCCAGAACAGTGTCTTCCAAATCCTCCTGATCTGCAGTGTTGTCCTGCCAAAAATTTCTTTAAAGGGCCGAATAAATGAAAATCCGAGAGGGCTAAATTTGGACTATACTCCACACGTCAAATCAAACCGTGGTTGGCACAGTGGAATTGGGAGGTCCCGCAACATCCTCCTTATAGTCCAATTTAGCTCCCCATCAGATTTTCATTTAGTTGGACCTTTAAAGAAATTTTTGACAGGAAACACTTTGCAAATAAGGAGGAATTGGAAGACACCATTCTGGACTACTTCAAGCAAAGTACTGTGAAGGGATGTTCAAACAGTGTCATACTGGGATAAATGTCTCAATATTTAAGGCAACTATGTCAAGAAATAAACAATGTATGTAGTTATTGTGGAATATATTAAATATTTTCTTTAATTATAAATGTTAGTGTAATTTTGGCCCCTACCTTTAATATCATCTCTCCTCGTATAAACAGCAGTTAAAGAGCATAGCACAAAAAATTTCTGATCTTAGTGTTTCTACTTTGGAAAATATTCAAAATGTATTCTGTATAATTATAACTTCAAAAATTAAGCTTTCGCCTATTCAAACATTTTCAAAATTTAGTCAAATTAATCTGTATTCAAAAGAGAAATTATATATATATACGTAAGCATAAAAAATGTCATATATGTCCAATCACAATCAAAGTTTCATCTATGACAAGTGATCTATATTCTGCCAATCATACAAGTTAATTCTGCATGCCAGGAATCCAGAAGTTTCACCATTATTTCTCTTGCTTCAACAATTTAATTGACAACTGAGTACTTATGGCAGATGTTTATTTAAAAGTTTGCTGTAATTTGCATATATTTTGGTAGTAATTACAGATTAAACATTTTCCTAATTTCATGTTTATAGTTGTTTGGGATTAAAACGATTTGTATTCCTTACAATAATAATGATGATAATTCAGTTTTGTTACTGTACATATCTAATCAGAAACCATCTTATTTTCAACACTGGAAAAATTCACACACACATGAATTTTCCCAGTTTCAATTTTTGAATTTGTACTCCAAAACATCCATGCGTGGGAATAGATCCTATCAAATCATTTCAGTAGACCCTCTTTCATACATGGCCATTTAACTGGTATCATGTACATGTATCTGGACTTAAGAAATGAGGCATTAAGCTATTCGATGTTGAAATTTTTATTTGTTGCCTGTTACACCATGTTGAATTTTCATTGATGTTAAGCCTAAAAAAATTTTTTTGAATGATAATCGTGTTTACTGTATCGTAAAAAATTAATTTTTTATATACAGTAAACACGATCGTTAAAATAATTTTTAATGATACAATAGTCTTCGTTAGGCTTAACATCGACGAAAATTCAACGCAAAGCGACACGCAATGGAGAAAAATGCCAAGATGGGATAAATTAATATATTTTTTCGTATACAATCGGTTATCCGAAACATCGATGTTATGAACAACCCCAGTCCCCAACTGATTTGGATAATCGACGCTCTACTGTATTCCCAGGCAGATAGATCAGGTATCAAGATGAGGACAAATGGCCAGTTTGTTTGTCAGATATGACAACTTTGGATTTTTCCTATGGAGACATTAGAAATTAGTATATCATGAATGAATTGCAAATCTGGAGGATTTAAGGAAAAAGATAACTGATGTCTGAGATCACAACAAACATCTTGGCCCAGATTAGTTCCTCATTTCAGCACAGGATTTACTCCTACATTATTGAAAATGGCAACCAGTTCAAATGTAAGGTGGACCAAAATTTAAACCTGTTCTCTAATGTATTGTAGTAAATTCTTATTGTTTGTATTACCCCTTTAACTTGGCTTCACTTTCTCAATCATCAACACTAAATTTTGGTATAGATATCCCTTACTTAACATGGGATTTGATCAATGTGTGAAATTAATTAACATACATCATGTTAATCAAGAAACACACATATTAACAAATACATTTCCTCTATTCGTAAATCGAGGGTAAAATCTGTTTCCAGATCCTAAGAAAATATACATTTTGATAAACTTAAATACTTCTTTCATGCATGCTTTGCAATAAGTTCCCTTTTCATCTCAATTGTCAATACAGTAGAGCATCAATTATCTGAATCAATTGAGGACTGGGGTTGTTTGAAAAATCGATTTTTTGGATAACCGATTATGTATGAAAAAATACATTATTAATATAGTATATCCCAATAATAGTATATTAATATATCCCATGTTTAAATTTTTCTCCATTGCGTGTTGCTTCGCATTGAATTTTTGTCTATGTTAAGCATAACAAAAATTATTTCTTTATTTTGTACAAACAAAATAAATATATTGAAAAATATAAAAACAAAAAAGTATCCTTTAGAAGTTAATCTAGTATCAAAAACATTCGATTCAGCATGACACAGTCCAACTGAAATGCTTTTGGTTAACCGACGTTTCAGTTGATCGGCATTTGGATAATTGACGCTCTACTGTACTACAACTTTTCTCTTAGGCTTTGTTGCTTCCACACTCTTCTTGAATGCCACAGTTAATAGGCAAGAATGATATATATAAAACCAAACACAAGTAATATGACATGCTTTTATAGCACAAGTGAGAGACAACCTGGGCACACAACAGATGCTATTTATTTAGCAAGTGCATTTTTTCACTGTATGCTCAGTTCAAATGTAAAAGAATCTCTTAAAATTCAGGTCAAATTTCTCTCAAATTTAACATTAAAATTCTGGAACATTCAAACTATGAGATGCCACTAGGGCTTATCATTTCCCGGCCTTTTGCTTGTCTTGGGATATAATTATTTTTCATTTTAAGTAACTTAATACATCCTGCAATCTCCAAACCAATAATAATAATAATGCTGTGTAAAATATGTATAAAAAATTACTGTTGAGTTACATAGAAATTTTCACAAATAGAAAAAGTTAAGTTTGTTGGAAACTGCTTACAACAAAAATGCCTTTGAATCGAGTTGAAAATTTAAAGAAAAAAAATGAACTTAGATCAAATGTCTAACTTAGAAGGTAATTTTTGTTATTTAAATAAAACAATACAAAATATTATTGCAAACTTTTATAACAACATTTTAAAAAAGCAAAGAGGTCAATACTCCAATCACTCAATTTGATTCTTGTTTTACTAAAGAAAAGTTCTGCTAACAAGAATGCCCTTTTTGATTCAACTGATGTGGGTGGAATTTTCTTTAATGCATTTAAAAGAAGACAGATTTGTTTTTTTCATTTGCAGTCTGGAAAATTTCTAGTTCATTTTTGAGATGCATTACAGCATTTCTTTTGCCTTCTAGTTTTCTTGATTTGCCTACCTAGGTTGCTTTAATAGTGGCATCGAGCTTACAGTCCAATAATTCAGCAGTTCGTTTGGCTTTAATAATCGGGTTTATGAAGAAAAACTTCATACTTGCATACTCGTTTGTATCCTTGCCCAATTTGCACAATCTGGCATAATGAAGTTATTGAAGCTACTGGGCATGGTTAATTAAAAATTAAGACAGCAAAAGCACAATTATTCCAGATATTACAGGTTCTGACAAGTAAAGAATTTTCAGAGTCCTGTCACAAGAAGCAAAAATTTAAAAACTAATAAGCAGGCTTAAAATTAATAAATACAAATGTATTCTGAAAGTTTATGGGTTAATAATTATACTTTCTATTTACAAAATTTCCTCAACTTTAACACAAAATAAGAAAAAAAGGCATTTTTAAGAAATTTATGGGATTTCCTGGGTTAAAAAACAGCTAGGATCCCATTGAAAAAACCCTAGATACCACTATTATTAAGCAATTGTTAAATCAGTCAAATTTTTCATTGTTAATAGCAACTATTGTAATATCCTTATAAATGAAAATTTTTGAAAAAATGTGTTTAATCTAATTAAACATCTAAATTTTTAAATAGCAAACAGTTCTTAAATTTTGTAAAAATATGTATTTTTAATAATCATTAAAAGAATTTTTAAAAACATTCATTCTGACCTTGTGTTGTCTCCCAACTTAATCCACCAACAAAAAGTTTCCTGAAAGAAAAATCAAATATTAAATCTAATTACAAGAAAGTAATTCTATAAATTTGATTAAAATAAAATAATATAAATCAAGTATTGATTAGGGAAACTAATTTTTAATAAATTATTTTTGGAATGCTTAATATATCGTGAGAAATACATTAACTTAGAAATTTTATTACTTTTTTTAAAGAACACTTAAATAACAGAACAGAATAACCTATAATCAAATTAATGTCTTTTTTGTTTTAATTTTAAATGCATTTAAGAATAGAATGCTTAATTTGAAATATCTATTAAAAACAACACCTATTTAGCTTACACTGAATTATTAAAGGAATTTTTACATTAAGACACAGAATAACCAAAAATCAATAATATATTAAATGTTTTACCAACATACCACAGAAGTAATGTAAGAGCTTTGTTGGTATGTGAATGACCGATACCACAAGTGTGGCAATAACAGGATTTTTGGTTATTCTGGTGTCTTACATAATTAGATCCAGTTCATGGTCCATGATGAATTAGACTGGTGTCTGCCCATAATGGCTCAAAACCATATTCTAATATGTTCCTAGCTAGTTCATATTTCATCTACTAAGCAACATATCATCTCAGTACTGTCAACCTACTTTCAAGCATTCTGGAAGTGGCCCCATATATGCAAACTTACACATTGTAGAACTTAATGTGTGGAGGTATTTTGTAGACCTCCACACATTCTTTTGTGGAATAATGGATCTCTTTTTAGTAGTCTTATCAATTTTGACTTTCCAAATATTTGAGTTGTGTCATAACTGAAACACGATGTAGTAGGCAAACACATGCTCTATTGAAAGAATCATCCATGTCATTGTCACAAAACAGACTGCCAAGACAGTTGTACTATATATAGGCATTTCCTAATGGGCACTAGATTCAGGAAACATTCAAGACACCATTAGGAAGTATCTATGTACAATTACCTTTGCCTTGTGACAGTGACACGAATGTTTCAACAGAGCATGCCTACTACACATCGTGCTTTGGCTACGCTGTGACACGACTCATACACAGTAGAACCTGTCTATGGCAACCACCCATAATTCCTTCAAAAAGTGGTCTTTTAGTCAGTGGTGCTGTAACACTATTTCCACACATATTTTGCACACAGATATGGCTAAAAGCCAATATCTACTAAGCAAAACTCGAGGTGAGCATAAATAAGTGAATTTTTTCAATAATACAGCTATATTGATACTGTATTTTATTCTTATCAGGTAACATGATTAACAGAAGTCATCATGATTTTATAAGACAGATTATATACCAGTATTTTAAAGATTAATACAGTATTTGCATTTTCTTGATTATAATACACACTTTCTTTTTTCCGACTTAATTAATTCAACTTGGTTCTCTTTGTTCGCTACTCAGTTATGTGTATTATGCCATTGATATAGAAGCATGTAGTATATCTCTTCACCACTTTGGTTTTGGTTTCCTTTAATCTTACTTTAACTTTAAAAATACTGTATTTTTTAAATATTTAATATTTTCTTAAGTACAATAAAAAATTATTAATTAATAATAAAACGATTTTATTATTTCTTCTCATAATACCATTTCATCGCATCAACAACAATCACGAAATCGAAAAAGAAAGGTTGCCTGTAAAACTGATTTTTGCAATAATGCATTTATGGTTTTTTGAATATTTTGCATGAAAAATGACTTGGATATTATTTTTCTAGAAATATCACAGAAATAAGGTAAGTTGATACAGAAACTATTTATCGCACATGTACTGTACATGAGCTTCAAAAAAATAAAATTTATCAAATGATGAGATCAGCTGATTAATTGTATCATGTACAATATTTTATACTCCTAAGAAAAACACAGTAGGTCTATGGTAAAATAAATTGCATTTTCCCCACAAATAAACTTGCCGCTAATTGCTGTTGTGATAAAGTTATCAGAGAAAATGAAAATGGTTTAACACTATCTTCTAACAGCAGTACTTTCCATTTCTTTCATTTTTGGACAATTTTTATCAAACTGAAATAAATTTCCTTTGTTGCTAGACTAATTCATTAACACTGGCATCCTGCACCTAATTTCAAGGATGGAAAAAGTGCCCGAAGTGGGTTTGAACAAGAGTTTAGACCAGATATATTCGTGGAAATAGTCACTTATTAAAGTTGTTGTTTCTGACCAAAAATAGAGTATTTTGCAATTAATATGAAAAATTACAGGAATAACTTCCTAATACAAGTTATGTTCCAGATAAGGGTGGTTTCTGGGTTGTTAAAAAAACAAGAAAAATCAATTATAAAAATATTTTTTATCACAAATAAAACAGTAAATTAATAGCTTTTTCATATATACTTTGTAACTCCTATATTTTTATTTATGGTGTAATGTGGAATTCTGGAAAGTACCTGGGTGCTGTACATGAGAAGACGTTGCAGACAACTAAAGCAAGGTACACCTGTATAACAATTTTGCTAAGTTAAAAATAATCTAAATAAGACTTTTCCAAAACTTTTTCAGCTAAAAATTGATAGTTTTCAGTATTTCTTGAGATCCCTCTCAAATATAAATATGCTGTAAAATATGGTAATTTTCATTATAACTGGTGTCTTACCAAGTTCAAGACTCTAGCATACTGTTACACAATAAAGAATTTTATATAAATAATAAGTTTTAATGATAAAATTATTTTATTAGAAATTCATTACTTTTTGCTATTTCATATTTAAGTTTTCTGCAAACAGATTTTTTCCACAGATCAATATTGAATCACAGACCACATTAGGAAATACAAATTTAGATAAAATTTGATGAAAAAAATGATTGCTAAAACAAATTAAACTACATTTTTTAACATTCATAAATATTTCAAAATAAAGCCAGCTGCAGATAAAACTAGTTTTTATGCACAACTTAAACAACAAAAAGATGAGAAAAAAGTGCTTAATTCTGGAAACCAAATTACATTTTTGTTAAGAAATGTTTTTGTCTTTTATATCATCCTCAATTATAAAAATTACTACATATCTTTAAAATTAAAAATTATAAAGTGCATTAGAACAAATGCATCGGAAAGAAAATATCTACAAGTTTGAACTTTCTCAAATTTAAAATCACAAGGAAAATAAATGAAAGTGAAAAAGCTGTCTTTTGGCAGACTGTGTTCTAACTCTAACATCCATAGTACCTGAAGATGAGTGTTATATGCTTTTGAAAATGTTCATATTTTGTTCTCAATCTTGTTCTGGTAATGCCAACAGACAGCTTTTTCACTTTCATTTATTTTAGTAAGTGGTATCACTTGTTTTTTTCTCTTTACAAGAAATTTATAATTATTAAAAAATTACAACAAAAAACACTAATTGTAATTATCCAGTTGATTCAAAATATATTTATTCAAAAATTAAGAAAAAAATTGAATTAGATATAACACAGTCTATATTAAATGTAGACTCACGACAATCTGCACTACATGACCTTCAACAAACACTCCCTGTGTATTGATGCCACTTCTAGATAAAGTTGGAAAGGGCTTTTTGAATAAAAAACCAATAACCATGAGTCTAAAATGGCTTTTTAAGACAAAAGAGTCATCGACATTAACCATTCTAAGTTTGTGTGTAAAAATATATATGTAACACCTCTCCATTAATTGCATTGTTTGCTTATCCACCCAGCTTTTAACATGTTAACCACCACAAGATACCACTTGTGTCACTAGCTAAAAATTTCCCCTTGTTCTTCCAAGATACTATAAAAGATTTGTGCCTCAATGACTGATTACATAGTATGCTCCATAGAGCACCAGCAGTACATCACAGAGCATTCTGTAAATGTAATTTAATTAAAAAACACAAAAACAAACTTTACCAACTGAGAGGCAGTTTATGCAACTCATGGTCTGTAGTGTAAGTTCATTTGTCTAAGCCTTCAGATAGATTGTATTGGGTTGTTAGGAAAGTAATTTTATTTGTACCCCATGAAAAAAATTCTTATAATATATATTTTATTGAATTATATATTGACCATTTTCCTTATACCTTTTTCCATCTTTCTGCTAGTAGCATTATTCCATGCTCATAAAAGTTCTGATCTTTGCTTACAAAAAACTGATCCAAGTGATTTCCTGACATCCTCATTTGAAGTAAATGTTTTACCATTTAAAAAATTTTGTAAAAACCAGAACAAGTAATAATACAAGGGTCCAAGATCTGGCAAATATAGTGGGTATGGTAGCACATAAAATTCAGGTTTTTTGACATGAAAAGAATACAAATCTATAGAAAAAAAGAAAACAGGCTGTGGGGCACAATTTTTTTCAATAGTGGTGATTAATATGTTAATGATAATGATAATAGGGCTTCTCAAATAACCTGGTCCTTCTTATCTAGTGCCATTGCCTTAATAATGTAACACTTTTAAAAAATTATATGATTTGTCAGTTTCAAAAAAATAAAAAAAATGAATTTTTACTAATGCAAATAAAATAATATTGAACTAAGATAAAAAACTAATGATTTTTCATCAAATTTCATTATTTTACATTAATTTGATGTGGCGCTATTCCATTTATCAATATAATGGCCTTAACTGTGCATGAATATGTGAATTCCATATACAGTGATGCCTGGTATAACGGACACTGCGAACAAGTGAGAATGATGTTTCCACTCTTTTGCCGTCGCCAATGACAATCAGCTATTTTTATAATATATTAGTACAGTAGAGCGTCGATTTTCCGAAAGTCAATCATCCAAAAGAATTCCAGTCAGCAAATTTAAATTTTCGCCAGTGCTGTGGCACTTCAATCTTTGGCTATGTCTTGGGTTACTCCAGTGATGGGCAAACTACGGCCCACGGGCCAGATGCGGCCCCCTGAAATGTTCTATCCGGCCCGCGCGACATTATTCCTAATCTGACGAGTAAAAAAGAATACAGGCTGTGGTGGTTGATGCACCACTTAACTTGAATGTTCGTTGATTATATAAAATAAC